TGCCTGTAAAGGTACAATTCCCCTTTGATGATCATGCTCATGTCAATGTAATAACTAATCTATGCTAAATTTTGTGAACAAAAGATTTCTAACAACAAGTCTGCTCTTCTGCCCGATGATTATTATATTGTTTAAGATCCTCCACCGATGCAGTTAGCATAAAATATATATGAGATGCGTTTTATTGTTGCCAAGTGCAAGCGAAGTAGGCAGATGACTAAATCAGCACATATATATATATATATATATATATATATATATATATATATATATATATATAGGAATGCATATATAGGACTTGATTTTGCTATAGATATTTTCAAGTATTTCTTATAAGAAAAGTAAAATTAAAGTAACCTCAACTACCAAATGGTAAGGAAGCGGAAACAGGAAGCAGTTAAATGTAATTTGAAAAAATTGTTTAATAAATAAAAGATAAGTCAATAATAGCAACAGTTAAAGGATATGCCGTACGAGTCATAATAAACAGTACTTAAAAGCTAAAGTATATCGAAGTTCAAGCAAAAAGCTGAAATATTTTATGGCAATGAGAATGTGTGTAAGCGCGTGAGCTTTATAAACAAACATAATAAAATTATAAGAACGCATCGAAAAACAAGAGAAGAAGCAAATGAAACAGAGAAATTATTAAAAAGAAATCAATGACTTAAGTTTAACTCCATATGCACCATCATTGAGGTCGATGACGTGGTATTGGTTTTTTTGTTGTCCATTTCAGATTTCTCGTCTCTTACTTGCATTAAATAAAGAAATAAAACTTTCGATGCCTTTTTTTTTTGTTTTTGTTGCTTTCATTTTCTTTTTAAGCAGAAAAGTGCGTCCAATCAAAAATCCATTACAAATGTTACGCTTGATAGCTATACGCTATACAATGCGAAGAAAAGATTCGTATAAAAAGGCACACATACATATGTTTATTGGAACAATAAAATCGTTAGAGTAAGAGAAAAACATCCTGTGAAATGTTGTAAAATAGTATCCGTTCAAATGAATGCACACACATACATACATACGTGCATATATATATATATATATATATACAGGCATACAAGCTATATACGTACAATGGCCATAACAGTAACTATAGCATAAGCAGCAACCAAAGGCAAATAACAACAACAAAAATGTTCAAGCGAATAAACTTTGCAAAAATATCCCTAAGGAAATACTAAAAATGCACAATAATTGAATCAGTTTTCAACTTGAAATCTACACAATAAAAACTCTGTGTGTAAAATCCTTTTTCTTTCTATCTTTTTCTTTTTCCCGTTTTTCGTTCTCTTTCCTCCTCCTCGCCGATATTCCGTTCGTATTCTGCTCTAACATCTTTGATAACGACACTGGTTTGCATTAGTTTTGTAAGTGCTTTTCTCTCTATATTGCCGGTCTTGCTGGCCACTTCATGACTGCGTATATATACATGCATACACATATACATATATATATACATACATACATACACTTATATACACAATAGTGCAATTGTCTTAATTTATTGAAATGTAAAAAACATTTTATGAGTTTTTTTTTTTTTTTTTTTTTTTTTTTTTTTTTTTTTTTTTTTTTTTTAAATATCGAAAAGTTTATAAATTATCGAAATTGGAATTAATCTTTTTTATGGATATAAAACAAAGCAAAGAATTTGTGTTTTTAGAGATTTTGATCTATACCTGTTCACATAAGCAATTTATCTTAGATAACATAATAAGGGATCGGCGCAACTATCTTATCAAATTTCTTTTAACCTTTACTTTTTATCGTCCTTCAACAACAATCGTATATTGAAATATTCTAAAGGATCATATCTACAATATTTTATGGCGAATCAAATCTCTTTTGTTTAGATCAAAACTATTTAAAACTGCATTCGCTTCTTCCTTGAAACTATCTTTTTCGAACTGGACCTAGCTTTGCGGAACGAAACCATCTGAATTTTCGGAGAATTGTAGGCTTACCGAAACGCTCACCTTTCCGTGCTGCTCCCTATAATCGCTCACTGATTGGAGCTGCTTAGGCGACGGCAAACAAGAGTTTAAGGTTTACTATCTATAACCTGGCAACAGGTTTCCGTTTTGTTAGGCTAAGAGGAATGTCGGAAGAGTTCTGTTTTTTCTTAAGAAAAGACGACATTTTCTGATCCCATTCGGTCCTCTAATATGAAGGCCATCTAATTGATTCAATTTCCAGTGGTACTACAAAATTTTAGAGGGCTAGGACACAACTGGGTGTGTGCTGTATGATGACGTGCTTGGAGGCATAATTTCCTCGAGGAAAGATAATTGACTGAATGCCCTTCCAGAGCAAGTAACAAATCTAAATCAGTACAGAATGGGACGGCAACTCACGAAATCGTGGATGTCGTCGAGGGTCAGGTTGCCCAAAACTAGGATTGCTCCTCGTATGACGATGCATTACCCGTCAAACTACTAGAATGAATGCCATCTTCTCTGACTGCTAGGTACGGACCAACGGGGTGTATCGTGCTGGGTATGGTTTCGTGGGGAACTAGTATGAAGATGTTAGGTAAATCACAACGCCTACGAGAAAGCGAGAGGATGGCTCACACCTATTTCATATTTTGGTACCTCAGGAGTATAGTAGGATCCCCTGCAATACGGATTGTACTAGTCCTTGGCGGGTGTCAGCTACAGCTTATCCAATTAACTAGAGTCTAATCGGGCGCTGCGAAATAAGGCTATAAATGGCCGGAAATCTGACCCAAACGGCTAACTAACCCGCTTACAACTGATACTTGAGGAGCTAAGTTATGTATATACCTCCTATTACGTTTATTAAATGATTTTAGTATCCTATCGCCTCTTACATTTTTAGATGGAATTTGTGTAATCAAAACAATGTAATTTAACGAAAATGGTTTGTATTTTCTGCATGCAACCATTGCTATGAGGCATACGTTTGGCGAATGCATGACATACTAGATAAACATGACTAGACAAACGTGTTTATTAGATTAGCAATTTTTTTTAATTTTCCGCCTTGAATTTATATTTTCGGGAGGCGTTTCCTTTTCTCTTGTTACCTTAGTTTCTACCAAGCTCTACAGCCAATTGGAATGAATCGGTTGGACACAAATAGGAAGTAAATGTATATATATATATATTGTACTGCAATTAAGCAAGCCGATCGTGACATTTTTGAATAATGATGATAAAATGTTTGTCTCACATATGAAGCGAAAAAATTAAAACAAAAAAGAAAAAAAAAACAGTTGTACAGTCCATCAATGTTATAACTGAACAAGCAAAGACCGTGAACATATACTCGATGTGAAAAGTAATAAAAGGAAATCTAACGAAGGATTATGGCACAACCATTAAACCTAAATAATGTTACGCATCACCGCCATTTCGATATCATTCATGATGTTCCACTTACTAATTCCATACACAAAAGCGACAAAATGATTGAGATTGAGCTTTTCCGCATGCAAAAAGCCCTTCAGAAGGGGTGCTTACGATTAATAAATTTACCAACAATTCGGGCAAAAATATCAGCAATATAACTTTAAACAATCGCAAAATATGGGTAAGCAAAAGTTTAACATTCGTATTTAATAATAATAATTTTTATATAAGTAAAAGCACAAATATATTCTCAAGTTTAGAATTTCAAAACCTTCAACTCAACGCTTAAAATATCTTTACTGCCATATAAACACCTTCGGACTGTTTTTTGTTGCCCAAAAAATTATGCTATCAGGCCTCTTTCGTGGGTATATTACATTACAAATCTCCTAGAAAAAAAAAAACAATACTTGGATCCCAACACCGACAAAAAAGGCAAAATTACGCAATTAGTTAATAGCACAAAATGTGTTTAATTCCGCGTTTTCGATATAGCTATGATCTAAAAATCAGACGAGAGTCCGGAGATATATGAGGTTTATATTTTTCAATCAGACTGCTTTCGATGACTATCAAGGTGTTTATGTCGTAGCCGCTACGAAGCCGAATGTTTCTACCTTATGCTCCGTCGCTTTTGCCATGAGATCAATAAGATTTTAAAAAGCTCCATAAGGTCTTTAAAAAAATGTTATGACTGATAGGAGTCATCCAACGGAGCCAAAACTACTTTTCTTAAGCAAATCACCTTAATTCCATATTTTTGGTAGAAAATTTCTTTGCAAAAAAAAGAAGACTCGAGCAATAAATGCCCTTACGACCCTAAAAGTAAGCATACTGCAAAATATGAAGCTTCATCCCATAATATAACTCTTCTTTAAGGAAAAACTACCTTAAGTGAACAAAAGCAAGTTAAAAGATCGAACAAAATCAAATAACGGGCAAATTTCATATTCGGATCATGGCGTACCATTTACCAGAGAATTAATCCTGCAAATTAAATGTTAAGAATAGGAATTACAGGTGCAATGCTCTATTATATCATACGCTTTGGACGCCTTCTGTGGGAGAATATATTTATGAAGATGAAACAAAAAATATATTTTTTTTTTTAAAAAGCTATTATTAAAATTTTATCACAAAAAAGCTTATTAGTAAATTTTCCATTTCTTTTTAAAAATGAGTTATAAAAAATATATTTTATCTGACATAAAAAGTATTCTATTAAAGAAATCTAATATTTTCCCACATTTTTTTTTCAATTTATACTTTGGATGTTTACTAAACAACAAATAATAAACGAAGCCATCGACAAAACGAATTTTAAGCAGGAACTTGCATCGAGCTGCGGTGTCCGAGTGGTTAAGGAGATGGACTTGAAATCCATTGGGTTCTGCCCGCACAGGTTCGAATCCTGTCCGCAGCGATTAACTACTTTTTTTTAATCTATCAATTTATTCTATCAATTTCAACTTTATCTTTTTCACCTAATCGCTTAAAAAAGTGCCCTACAAAAAGAATATTCTTCTGAATACGTAAATACATCGTCACATTCCTTTATTATCTTGATTAAGCTTAATAATAATAAGCTTAAATACTTTCTGTCTTAACACATACCTTTACATGCTTTCTCATGCATTTCTCTGTCCTCGGTTAACAGCTCTTCAAAATGGTGTTGCAAATTAGAAGCTGCTTCTTGGACAGTATTGGCCATACGATCGGCTTCATTCAAAACTTTTAAGTATGTATCCATTTCGAGCTGAGAAATTCTAAAAATGATATTTACACATTAGAGGGAAACCGGGATTATATTTGTAATTTTCTACCTAATTCGTTTATTTTCCAAGTATCTTACAAACTGAACTTCACTAGGCGCTAAGAAGAGTACAGCACGACCACTACACCCTGCACGAGCCGTACGGCCGACGCGATGCACAAAATCGGCAGTTTTTTGTGGTGGCGAATATTGGACAACCAAATCTATTTCAGGAACATCGATTCCACGACCGACAACATCCTGAGAATAAAGACATAACAAAGTGCGTATTACTACAAAAGTCTGTTTTTTATACTTGAATATCGCATACCGTAGCTAGTAGAACACCATTTTTGCATAGACGAAAACCTTTGAAAACCCCTTGTCTTTCCGTTTGAGACATTGAACCATGTAATCTTCAAAAATTTAAATAAGATCATAAGTTATATCGGTTATCGACAAGTTGCCAAGCTCTGATTAAGGTTAAACTGATGTTATGCAAGAGATAAAGGGCAAGTTTAGTTAGACGTTTGAGCAATGGTTCTCAATTTCTCTGAAAACTTTTAATAGAGATATAGATAAAACTAAGTCCTTTTAATAGTTTCAAGAAAAAACTTGCCTTTTTGCATTGGTTTAAGGTAAATCAGAATTCGGCCTAATTAATTACCTATTGTTGGTATGAAATTTCGGGAATGTTCAACTTACTTAAAAAATCTCAGACCCTTTAATAAGGGTTCCCGTACTTCCCGTTCATTACTTAATTCGTTTTCTGTGACTTCGTCATCATCTTCATCCAAAATTTTTTGGGTAAGTTCTTCGTTTAGTAGATCGTGATGAAAGTTCACCATTTCCATGGTGCTCATAAAAATTAATGCTTTAAATTTGTCTTTGCCTTTATATTCGTGCAGCAATAAACCAGATAAAATAACCAAACGTAATTTCACGGGCACTTGCACATATTGCAGTTTCAGATTTTCCGGTATTGTTAAAATTCCAGTGGAATCATCTCCGTCATCTACTACATCATTGGCAGCAGCTTCTATGACTTCTTTGCTATAGCCCCCACCGATTGTGGAGCCACAGTTGACAGAGTCTTCATCACAATTATCGATGAATATAGCTTCTTGTAGGGTCAGACCGGCCAACTTTTTCACCGCTGCTGTCAGTGTCGCAGAAAGCAGCATTTTTTGCAACGGCTCTAATGAATTGGGAGCTTCATTAGCTTTTTCTTCACGTTGTTTATTGATTGCTTCCACAATTTGTCCTACATCTCGTTCATAACCCATTTCCAATAGGCGATCGGCTTCGTCGAGTATTAAAAACTTTGCCTTTTCCATTTTAAAAGTGGCAGTGTGCAAAAGATGATCTACCAAACGTCCCGGTGTACCCACCAATATATTAATGCCCTTTCGTAATCGAGCCTTCTCTACTTTTCGTCTCTCACCGCCCATTAAAACGCCAGGCACCAACCAAGTGTAAGGTTTTATTAGCTTTTGGAACAATTCATGCGTTTGTATGGCCAATTCACGAGTCGGCACAATAATCACAGCCTGTATACCGCATTCACGTGTCAATTTAGGACGAATAGCTTGAAGTTTCTCTACTACAGGCAAGGCGTACGCCAACGTTTTTCCCGAACCAGTCTGAGAACGAACTAAAAGATCTTTGCCTGTGAAAGGAAAACACTTTTAAAACAATGTCATAAATACGATTGGAAGGTGTATGTACCTTGCAAAGCTTGGGGTATAGTTTTATTCTGCACTGCAGTTAATTTGGTTATGCTTAACAGATCTGCTAAATTTTTAACAGCATGAGGATGTAAACCCAAAGACTCCACCGCGCAGTCACTGAAGATTTTTTCAGTTATCGGTTTTACCAAGCGTTGTCCTAATTCAACCTTAACGAAATCATCTTTAAACAGACCAACTTTTCGTACCTTTGAATCGTTAGATTTAGGTTTCTTTGATCTGATTAGCTCTTTACTTTGTCCTTCCGCTTTGCTTTTCTGTTCATCTTCTCGCTGATAAAACTTATCAGCAGGATGTATATTTGCAGCGGAATTTCTAGAAAATTTGCTAAGACCATCTTTAATTTCTTGGTCCGTTAAAACACGTTTCCATCCTTTTCCTTTGCGACTTTCCGAATTTTTTTCAATTTGGTTCGCAGTTCGTTGATTTAAATGTTGTGGAACCGGAGTTGTGCAAACATTTAGCAGTAGATCTTCCGAAGGTTCTTTACTAGCATGCTTTTCGGTAAAGCTGTCTGTTGAAGTAGTAGCAGCAGTGGTCGGACTTTCTGTGGCATTACAACGCACTTTGCTTTTTACATTTTTTGATTTTGATGGAGATTTGAAACGATTTTTTACAGAAGTCTCACCATCATCTGCGTCTCTAATCTTGGATTTTGATTTCGACAATAAGCCGAACGGGTTTGTGGTGATCGGTTTAATTCTATTGCTGCTATCAGTACTTGCTTGGGATCCGTTCTTTTTTACAATTCTTCTCGCCACCAATGCCTTGATTTTTTGTTTACCTTCCCCGAATTCAAATCTAAAACCATTTGGTGCAATGCCTTTCGATAATATTTTCTTTTCTTTTAACGGTGTTACGGCTGGCTAGAAGTTTTTGTTCAGAAACGCTTCAAATTGATGAGCAAATCATAAAATCAAAACACTAATACTTACCTCGGGCCGACAGCGTGTAGGCTGCGTAGTTGTTGTTATATTTAATTCTATAGTCATGTTTTCGTTTATTGAAATCTACTGAAATTATCACTAATATCTGCATTTATTTTCGTTGAAAACAAACTAAACGTGGTCTGCGTAAAAAAAAAAACCCTGTTGCTTATTTATCTTTTGGGCTCATTTCTCTGGCGTTGCCAGATGCTCCCAATTTGGTTAATAATGATAAACTAAATACTACAAACATAATGAAGACAAATTCAAATATATATAAAGACAAATTTAATAATAAATGCCTCCAGGCATATGTCAAGCTTAGCAGATTTCAATATAGAATATATATAAACAAAACGAAACACATCAGTTACCTCGTCAACATACCCATAAATTGATATAAAGGAAAACAAAATATATGTGCATTGCCTATGAACGTATGCAGAATTTGTGCACGAAGATTTTCTTATATGTTTCTAATAAAACTCAACAAATATCAAAAGCAGGGAAAAAGTTTCGTTTAATGTCCACTGCTACTCCATTCATATTATAAAGACTTTTCTCACTCATTCAAATATAGTCCTTCTAAATTCCACATACTTAACTAACTCCATATATAGTTGAAATATAAACGTTGCCTAAAAATATGCTTGAATAATTTTCGCTTTTTCAGTCTAAAAATGTGTATAAATGTTTTCTGATATATTTTATAAAAGTTTTTATAAAAGTTCTAAAAGACGAGCTCACCTAAAAAGTTGTTTACCTTCGAATCGACTGAATAAGACTGAAGACTTCTTAGGCATTCGTTGATTTGCCTTTTTATACCCATAACCGAAAGATGAGATGTATGTTCATTTTGTCAAAACGTTTGCATCGCCCGAGACGAAACTTCAGAGATCCCACAATGAATATATATTTTCTTGATCAGCATCGAATTCTGAATCGATTTAAGCATGTCCGTACGTCCGTACATGTCCTGGCTGCAAACTAAAGATATTGGCTGCAAATATTGCAGGAAAGCAAAAGTTCTTGCACGCTGGTCGGTAGTGAAAATAGACCAAATTTTTCGAAGAAGATGCCTATAGTACCACGTAAACTGAAAATGCTTCTATCATTTAAAGGAGAGAAAAAATTTGGTTTTGCTCATTACTCATAACTGCAGCAATTTACAAACATTTGAACGTATGGTCTATGCCCGTGGTGGTCCCTAACCGATAGTATAGAGTATAAAAAAAGATTGAACATATATCAGATAAGTAGAAGAAGAAAGAGCAATTGTTTATTCAATGGTATTCAAATATTGGACATTTGTAGTACATAACGTACATGGTCCTATATTAAGAGATGTTATCTCCATGTTGTAAGCGCACACCGTTTACACGTAACTATATGAGTTATTATATATAGTTCAGTTATTAATACGTGGATTCAAGTACATAAAGTTGTCATAGGATTAATTGATGTTTTCCCCCGTTTTCTCCTAAGCAGGACGAGGATTATTAAAAAATTCTTTTCAAGAAAAGTTTACAATGCAGCAAATATAACACTGAACAAAAGCTTAGGAAGTATTTTTTTATAATAATATAACAAGACTAGAAAACATTATTACAAAAAATGCAATAATACAATAGAAATGTGATGCGGAAACGCATTAAAGGCGAAAGGTTGTCAAAGTGACGCCAACAATTTTTGCGGCAAACCTTTGGCTGACTTCCTCGCATTTTAAAACCCAAACTGGCGAGAATGAAAGAAGAGAAAATCTACATTATCGCTTCGACTTTGTAGCTCGTTTACAGCAACTGTTTGCGCAGCTCGATCTCGGAATCTCCTCAAGGCTTTTGATTTTAATAGTATTGACCTATTGTCGGTGAGTCTTCCAGAAGGCATTTCTTGCTTATATTCTCAATTTTTATATGCACAACAAGTGATTTATCCTAAAACAGCTGTACATGACCTAAAGAATTCAATTACATAGTACATCTGCCCCAAAAGGGGCACACAACAATGTCAAATCTTGTTTCGGAGTGGCTTGATATTCCGAATGATAGAGAAAAGCGCAACGAAGTGTGCTTAATATGTATCTCAGCCCAATTCGGTCTCGAAAGCAATAAAATGGGTAGCTGCTTAGCCTACAGGGTGGTCCGAAGAAAATGAACTCACCGATTGAAAGTATAGTTCAGGATAACAAGAAAATGTATTGAAGCTCCCAGGATAGCATAAAAGCCAATGTAGCTACGAGAGAATGTCATATGCATAGACGCTGGCTTCTACATGGGACAAAGGACGGACAGACAAATATATGTACTTTACAGGATCTCTGACCTTTCATTTCGGATGCTGCGAAAGTTTTGACCAAATGAATACATTCTTCGTTTGTGGATATGGTATAAAAACCGACCAATTATTTACTCAATTATTTTTTGTTTGTATTTTGATTAAAGTTTACAAAATTTAGTTTAGTATTTTTATACCCAACCCGCCAATCGATTAGACTTGATTTTACTAATTTTCTCATTGCGTTTGTAAATTCAATAATATGAATAGCGGAAATTTTGTTAAGCATTATAAATATGTTCTGATCATTTTCGGTCCGTCGGTGCGCTTACACGATCTATTACTACAGCTGTCAAAGTAAAAAAAAATTGATTGCTTTTTTCTTCGATATGGTTAATGGTTATTTTAGCTTCGTCTTTGGGCTAATATATTTTAGATTTTTTTAAATTGTTTTTAATCAATCGTTAACAGTAAGTCAAGGTAAATGGTGGCATTTGATAATATAGATACGACTGTATGTATATATGTTTGTATTTATAATCAAAAAATAATTATAACCGTTGAAAATTTTTTTATAAAATAAACAAAAACAATATATCTAATGCTTCTTTACGTACATACAAATAAATCTATATATGTACATACATACATGTGTATAGGCGAACATTTTGATTATCAAAATCGCACCAAATAAATTTATTTAACTACGTAACAACAATGCGATCGTAATTTTTAACAATTTTTCACATTTCTAGTTTAATATAAGAGACCGGAACGGAATCTAATGTCAGTTAAATATTGAAATAAATGAAAATTTACGTTTTAAATTTTAATTATAATTTAAAAGAAAAAAATTTCATCTACCATCATTATTGCGGTGAAAGGAAAGAGAAGACATCCCCCCCCCCCCGAAGATAAGTACTCGCGTACGCATATATAGACAGAAGTACATATTTAACATTTAACCTCCAACTTGGCTGATAACCATCGAAATAAAAGGTAATTCAAGGCAAGTCATCCATATTAGTCTAAAATTTATTTCAAAAAAAAAAAAAAAAAAAAAAAAAAAAAAAAAAGGTATTTAATAGTATTGTTTGTACGAATTTTTAATTTTAAACTTTGCGCTTTAATTATATACGCTTTAAAAAAAAAAATTTGTGCGTTTTATAAAAAAAAAAAAAAAAAAACGTTTTGCCTTTGAATACGCAATGTAGTTAGTTACCTTTTAATTTTATTATACAATTATCATATTTGAAAAAATATTATAAAAAATTTTACAAAAAATGTTATTCATATTGTTTTAAATTTATTTACGAACTATCTGTCGAACTGCCGGTCAAAGGATCAATAATATAAATGAGATCAACTTAACAACGACTGTGTTTGTGCCCGCTTTTTTAGCCCTCTTAAAACGTAACCGATATTGATATCGGACAGTGAACATATTAGAAATTTTCCCAATTTCTTAATTTACTACAATTTTTGTAGCATACAGTGACACCTCTTGAAGATTAGCTGCTTGAATTTAAAATACCTTTTTTGCGAAACAATTTCGATTGACGTGGTTCTTTTACACCCATTATAGAGGTATACGCATTTCGTTATAACGTTTGCAACGCCCAACAGAAAGCTGTACAGAAACTGTATAAACAATATACATATGCATATACATATATATATATATATATATATATATATATATATATATAAGCGTGAAATTCTAAATTGGTTAAATCATGTGTGTCCGTCTGTGTGATGTATGTTATTGCTGCTCTCCTGGTCGCAAAAGTGAACATATCGACTTGAAATTTTGATAGAAACATTCGAAGTTCCTTCGCGCAGGTCGATATTGAAAATCGGTCAAATTGATCAAAGTTGTACACCCGTAATGAAGCGTAAACTGAACGCAACTCGTTTTTTGTAAGGAAAACTTTATGGATTTGTAGACTACTCATTACTCAAAAAATTATGAAAGATAGTAGGCTGAAATGTTCCATATTTGCTTAGCGGAAAGCACTACTATTTATATGCAAATAAGGAAAAAATCGGTCATGCCCACACTAAGCTATAAATGGTGGAATAAAATGTGTTTGGGATTTATAAAGGATATAATTTTTATACTCATCAACGAAAGCTGTGGAAAGATGTTCCGGAAGGACGCTTCGCAGACCTCATAAAGCACGTATATATTCTCGATCTTCCTTACACTCCGAACCGATTTAAACACGTCAGTCTGTTTGTCTGGCCATCGGTCCGCCTGTCTCTTTGTATAATGTCTATGATAAGCCTTTTTCTGGCCGCAAATATCGATTTCAGAAAGCTCTTGCAAGCAGGTTGATATTGAAGGTGAGCGAGTCATACGACAGGCCCTAGAGTACATCATAAATTAAGGACACGTCTGCTTTTGAAAGAGGAAAAAATTGTGATTTTTTGGCTTATTATATATATAAACTGCAACGTATACAATGATTCAAATTTCCTGTATATGTACAGTAGAGTGTCGCTATCTCATTCGCAAAATTGTTAGGTGCAAAAGATTCAGTCAGAACCGTTTTTATTTTTCTTTTCTTTTTTTTTTTGCAAATTTACAAATTTTCTCCATTTAATAGCAAAAATAAATGTATACCGTCAAGGTTGTACGAAAACTTACCCCAGAAATGTATAGAAAAAAAAAAGAAAAAAAATTTTTGCTTTAAAATATGTATTAAATTGAAAGGAGATTATGTTGAGGAATTTGTAATGTATTTAAACTCATTATTGACAATGTTGTCATTTTATAGTTAATAAGCGAATTTAAAAAAAGAAAAGTTTTATTGAATATAAAAATGAAAAAAAAAAAAAAACTTACTAGCAGAGCAAAAGTTCGATGAATGAACCGTGGGAAATAAATATTCGGCTTATTGTTATTACTTTTTTTTTTATAGTTTAGATCAGCGATATGTTATATAGTATTTCATTCATTTTTTTCTTTTTTTTTTTTTTTTATTGCTTTTTTATATGCCTTGAAAATTTGTTAATTTTACGGTGCTTTTTTTTTTTTTTTTTTTTCCTAAGTACCTATCAACTTTGCAAGGGGCAGCTGTACTTGAGCATACTCGCCTAAGCATATACACATACATGCAAATTAATTATAAAAATAGAGAGTAAAGAACAAAAAAAAAAAAAAAAAAAAAAAAAAAAAAAAAAAAAAAAAAAAAAATTTAAGTAAAAAAATTTTTTTAGAAATATTAATTAAAAAAACATTAAATTTGAAATTTTTATAATTTTAAATATTTTGAATTTTTTTTTTTTATTCTTCAAATATCGATCTGTACACTGTTTGTTTTTGTTATTGTTATTGTTATTTTTCACTTCAACTTTAATATTTATACAAATTGTGTATTTGTGTGCATTTTATTAAATTTTTTTATTTGTCTCGTTTCTTTTTTTTTTTTTTTTTTTTGTTTTTGTTAAACATATTGCAGTAGCTGTGAATTGTTTTTTTAAGCCAAGTTTATGGAAAAGCATTGAGAGTCTGTTCTGGGTTCTGAACGTGTTCGGAACGTTTGAAAAAAAAAAAAAAAAACAAACCAAGAGATTTTTTATAAAATTTATAAACACTTCAATAAACAAATCATTTAAATAAAACGTGTCATTTGATTTAATTTATCATTTAATTCGGTGCGCATTTACGTGTTATTCAATGGATTATTTCTAAATATATAAATGTATATATATATATATATATATATATATATTGTATATGTTTGTGTATGTGTGTGTGTATATATGTGTGTGTGTGTGTGGGTGTTTGTATGTCTATGCGTGAAAAAAGGCGAATAGCAAGCACGTTCTTCTTCCCGGCAATTGTTAATTTCGGAAATGTTATCGATCGAATTATAAAAATTGCAAAAAGAAGACAAATGCAAAATGCCAAAAACAAGGACGAACTTCCCTTAGCATTAACACGCTACGCAAAAGATTGACGCACATATGAGTCTTTTATCTAACTCTTGCAACAGGCGCGAACACAGTCTAGGACTCGCAAGGATTACTAAAATAACTCAAATGCATGATCACAATGGAATTTAGTTCAATTAATTTCGTTCGTTTAGCTGCTCATCCTTTTAAAAAAAAAAAAAAAAACTGAGATAAATCATTGCGATTTGCCCTATAAACATTTTGCTTATTCCTCTCGATCGATCAGTAATCGAAACTCCTATAAACGATAAAACAGAAACGAAATGATAAGAGGGTATTGGGGATACATCCGTTCAAAGAACTGAAAGCAGTAAAAAAAAAATCTCTGCGTCTCATTTGTAGAGAGCGCGCCAAACTATAATGGCAATTGGATCCGCCACGGTGGCCCAGCAGGCAAGAGTTTAATAAAGCCGAAAGCCTTAGATGCTAGTGCTTTGAGACTTTAGTCTTAGAATTTATTTCTGTGGCTAAAATGTATAATAATAATAATAATAATAACAATAATGGCATTTGAAACTTTTGTGATAAAATATCCTTCTTTGTACCCTACACCACTCCCGGTACAAGCTTATATTAAGCTTTTTGCGTATGTATGCAACACTCACAAGAATTGGGATATAGAGGTAACTGTTATCGGTACCCATCGGTATCAGAATCACTTACTGATAGAGGGATAGACTTATGCTTGTCCATCAGCTCAACCGTCCGTCCATCTTGGTTTCTTGTCTTCAACCTACAGATCGCAATTTTTAACATATATTTTAATAAATTTTAATCGACGTGTTTTGGCCCAAACACAAATGCTATAGGAATATCGTTCGAATCGAACTATCCTTTCGGCCACTACCTATATGAAACGTTATTTCGAAAAGTCGTCATATGAATAAATGTAATATGGTTTAGGGTATTTAATGATGAGCCATGTCCTACTACAGTGTTTCCATTTATTCAGTTTCTTTATTTTTTTTTAATATTATTATTATTTTACAAAAGCGATCGTTATAAGCGATCATTTCTTTTTTAAGATCTTTACCGAGTCCTTAATGCGTTTTCTCTTTAAGAAAAACTAAAGAGAATATAGTGAACTTATTTTGCGGAAAATTCTATATATCAGTCAGTTGTGGCGATCATTAAATTTTTCTTGCAAATATTTTCCATGTCCTTGTTACTTACATTTCGATATCTTACGATATTGAATTTAAGTTTCATTTAAGTTACTTTGTTTTTCTTTTCTTTTTTTTTTTTGGAGTTTAAAAAAGTTTTTAAGAAATTCTTTTTAAGTAAGCCAACGAGAGCAATTTCCGGATATTAAGTTTTGTGTTTATTAAAAAAACTTATGGATACAGGCTGACAAGACTTGTCTCAAGCTGCCTTAGAATTTCAAAGCAACTTGAATTATTATTCAATGCGGTAGAGGTTTATAAATCAAAATTTTATGCGTGTAGCCGACAGTTTCTCGTATAAATTAGTCAATGCACTTAAAATATATTGTATATTCATTGTCGTATGCCCGCACTGATTATACGAATCTTCTAATGTTTGAAAGCAAAGACTTTTATAATGTGAAAGTTTCGGAAACTATTCTTGCCAGATATAATAGCACTAATTAAAATCTTCACCTTAATTTCGTATCCTTTGTGGCCCTTGCAAAAAAATCGCTTTCAGGAATTCGCTTCTGTTTTCACGTTTTGGTTGTTGTAGCCACCACAAAAAAGGATTGATCACAACGATACTCAGTTCTTCAGCGCATCGGAGAAGCATTGTAAAATGTACGCTTACACCCATACATATTTTTTTCTAAGTTTTAATTTGCGCCTATGAAGACCATTGAAACAATAGGTCCTAATTTGAATAATTTTGAAATCATATTTAGCGAATGAGAGAATTTTAAAAATCGAAAAACTTTGAAAAAACTGAAAGAAATATTAGAACATAACCTCAAAATTTGCACGCAAAAATGGCGAACCTTTGGTTAGAGGTGTATGTTTTTATTTATTAATTTTTGATAATGAAAATTAAGGCAACCACACAGGCAGCAAAACACAGATAGGTTTTTGCGAATCCTAGATATATCAAATCGGGTCTTTCTACAGAATAAAAGATGAGAAAATTGATGTCCCGTTACCATTTTAAGTCACATTAGGATAAGTTGAAAGTTTCGTAAATTGAGAAGAGTGTGAGTCAAGCTCTGAGACTGCTTTCCACAGACGTCTCTGTTCGCACATCGTTCGCGCATTGAATCAGTGATTGCAAACGTTGATAAAATCTAAATACCACTGAGCTTTTGTAGAAGATTTACTCATTTTCCATAACGGGTTTTTAAACTATTTAGCCATATTCGATGATTTCGCCTACGAAAATCTCTTTAATCGCGAAATTGAAATAAATAAATTTTCATATTTCTGGTTTGTGTAAATAAGGTAAACGCATACACACATATTTCGATAATAGATAGACACAAGTGAAAAGACTTTAGTGAACCACAGGCCACCATTAAATGTCTTCCACCGTCCTACCAAAACCCGTCGGTGTGCAAAATTTCATCAAAATATCTCAACACAAGAATACACGATGGACACCTGGACAGATAAGCTTAGATCGATTCAAAGAATGATTTTAAATGGATCGATATAATAAATATGGGTATGTCTATCTCAAGTCCTCTTTGGTCCTGTATACATCCTCATAAACTTACTATACTTTTGTACCACAAGTGATATCGTCTCTAAATAAGAAATATCTTTGAAAGCGTCAAATGTCAAAGTGCTTCCTTCCGTAACCAACGAATTACAGCCCAATAAAAATACGAGTAAAATTAGGAAAATGATTTGATTTATCTATCAGTTGATGTAGATAATTATTGAAAATAGAAAATTTTTATTAATAAGCAAACATACGCATTGCATAAGTAGTTATCAGTAAATCGAGTGATATAATAATATTCGGAATTATCTCTCCTAAAAAACCCTCATCATTCATTGTTTTTCAAGCGAATACGTTATGCATTAATTAAATCTTGTTTAAATGTTGAAAAATGCTAAAGACAGAGAATGGGAAAAAATACTTTTTGATTCCGGGTCTTATTGCAAAAATTGAATCCCACTGTGCCTGAAGTACACAAAATGAGCCAAGTGTCATTCTATATTATCGCAAAAATGTTCTATGCATCAGATATTCGCACGCAATGCAATTACGTATCGAACGCGTTAATAATTTTCTTATCTTGAATGTAGAGTGCAAACTCCATTAACAAAAATTTTTTCTGACCAATCGTAACGGCGGCCGGGCAGAAGGGCAAAGAGAAGAGGCGCACAGAAGCTGATAAAAAAATGATGGTCAATTAGGTCGTCAGATTTAAAAAATAACAAATCACCGAATTAATAGATCAACTAATTAATTCTAAATCAAGCCCTGACTCACTGTATATATGTAGTCTCCTCTAATACTTTGCAATATTATTACAAGTCGACTAAGAACATTATTACATTCTTATTCTTCGTTGGGGGGGTAAAAAAATTTTTCGCATATAAAACCTCTGATCAATATGTAGCCATGAAAGAGTAACTGAAAAGATTATGTTGGCCCTAAGACAGCGTGACCTTAAGAGTCAGAGAAACATCTCTTCATCATCTCTTTAATCATGAATCAATTCCTAGGAACGGTGAGAATCGCCAGAAGGCCGTATTACTTTGGTCTGGAATAAATGTATCATATACAACCGATCGATGACCGATCTCACCTTATAGTGAATCATGGACCATAAATAAGTAAATATTTTAAATACTAAATTGATATTTATTTTATGGACCCGATTATTCTTAAAAACCCATTGACATTTGCCGATTACTTTTCAAAGCGTTCTTAATTTTCGCTAAGGTAGAAGGAATCAAAACTAAGAGTATTTTTGTCAAGCATTAGCTTTTTGCTTTCATGTTTTCAACCGACAAAACAGACGTCCACTGATTAATTGATTTCGATTAATCACATTCTGACACGTGTGCCGTATAACTGAGTTCTTCTCAAGATGAATGATAAAACTTTAATACTTTTTGACCGAAGCTCTCTTGCTCGCACTCTTTCTCTTGTTCAAATTATCATTGAATTTTTTTTTTTTTTTTTTTTTTTTTTTTTTTTTTTTTTTTTTTTTTTTAATGATTAAACAATACATTATGAATCTTTTGGTAATCAGTTTATAAACTTCCGTAAGAAAAACTTGATATATCCCCTTCCCATCTGAGTTTATCTTATAATAAATGGCGAGATAACTTTTTCTTTTTAATATTTCCCGGGGAAAAAAAAAGTGCAATTATTCATAAGCTATTGAATGCATTTTTATTATTAGTTCATATATATATATATATATATGTGTATATATAATTATAAATCAAAACCGCACGATATACCTCTACAGTTAGTTATTCATAACTAAGGCAGCGTAGTAGTCATACGAATCTAATATAAATCCCCTGATACTAAGAAATAAATTTGATCGAAATTGTAACCGTTTAAAGAAGAAGTAAATATATATATATATATTTTTTTTTTTTGTAAATTATGATGCGATAAATGACGAGAGAATAACTAATGCGATAATAAAGCTTTAATAAAACAATCTTGAAATAATTTAATTAGAAATACATTTAAATTAATTATATATTATTATTACTATTATTATTATTATTGATTGTAAGATTGTTGTAAGCTTGTATCACGATCTACACTTCAACTAGTTTTCATTATTTTTATAAAAATTTTTTAAAACAAATATATTCACCTTAGGCAGAACTTTTCGGTAATCGTCATCTCACGTGCATTTAATGGAAAGCGTCTACAGCGCACATCTAACTTTAAGTTCAAGTTGACATTAAAAACTCATTCAATATGATTTATATATTTTAGAAAAACAATCGGTTTGCAAAAAAAAAAAAAAAAAAAAAAAAAATTTTTAATTAAAATTCTTCTCCCTTTTTTTTTTTTTCTTCGTAAAGTAATTAACAAAAATATATATGTATTTATTTATTTTTTTTTTTTTCATTGCAACATCATTATATCAATTAATCGGAATTATTTTATGAAATGAAATTTGAACGAATCTTTAATATCTATTTCCGCCTGTTACAAACGGACGGACAAAATTAATACATCTCTAACAATTGAGATTGCATTGTATTCGCGTTAAAAAACGAAATTTAAATTTTTCACTCTACTGCCAGCCTATGCAACCTAAACGGATCGGAAGTTTCCAAGGTATGCGTTCAAACTTCAAGTGATTTTCAATTTCTTTTCTCTCTTGTACAAATACATAGAGCTATGGAGCCTGTCTATCTTCAAGCTTGATGATGAACATTTTAAAAAATTCTTGGATAGGATCGGTCAGATCGATTCAAATACTCTAATCAGCTTTTCATAATTTTCATAATTTTTATCTATGACAAATAGAAGAAAAACTTGAATATATTCGCGCATTACATTAGGGGGTATAATGAAAATGAATTATTATGATTTGAATTATTTGTGTTTCCGTGAACGTTTTTAAATTAATTAACAATTTATATAATCTAATACATACAAGTTACAATTACTTTATAAGAGTGCAATAGATTTGGAAAAAAAATAAAAAAAAAAAGATGTAAACAAAGTTCATACTGTAGTACAATGATATTGGTTTTGTTTTTCTCGTACTCTCATATATACCCTTGCCCGCGTTTTGTTTTGTTTCATTCGATTTTTATGCACTTACACCTATCTACATATATCGTAGTTAAGAACAATTTGAGCAGTTAATACATCTGTTCTTTGTATAACTGCAAATAGTGAATTGTGCATTAGTGGTTTCAAAATGAAACAACAATTATTTATCGATTGGAGAATATGTTTTAATTATTTATGAAAAACCGGTTCTTGGATAATACAAATAGTGTGCAATGCATTCATTACATTAAACATGTTTTCTTTTTTTTTTTTCATATATTAAAAGATTTCTTTGTTATTGTCGTTTATACCATACGTTGCAAGGTGTAGTGCAGGCTTACAAATAGACAACTCGGTCTTTAGCTAAATAGCTAAGATGTAGCCCTTGACTTAGAATCTTTCGCATTCTAATCTTAGACAATCATATCCTACATTGAATGCTTGTTAAGTTGTGTTCTCAAATTTTATGCCATGGAATTGATATAAGAACGCATCTAAAGCATATTTAACGCATATTTCTTCTTCTTCTTCTTCTTCTTCTTGATAAGCATGAATAGCAAAACTGCTTGAATCATGTTTTCTGTGTCTCCCGTCCCCTATCAGTAGTCGAAAAATGAATTTGTGTTTTTGATAAGGTCGCTAGACCAAGTTCAAAAATCAGTTAACTCGATCTATGACTCCGTTCTTAGTTAATCATAAATTAAGAACTTTTTCCATTGTCTTAAATTGTTAGCTCATAATTAATTAACTAAATGTTTTTTTTTTCTTAATTTTATCCAATTCCGCTAAGCTGGACAGGGGACTTCGCCATATTTACGGCAACAAAGGCAGAAATACTTTCTTTCTAGGGTTTTATATTTGCTAAAGTGACATGTTTCACGAACACTGTCTTACGACCGATATACTCTAAATGGTTTATATGGTTTATATAGCTACGAATGTTGTGCAAAAAAATGCGTATGCTATTTGAGAAAAAATTTACATTAAAATTAATTTATTTTGATTTTTTGTGTAATTAATTGAAAATCTACGGCACTGCGATTAACTGCTAAACTGGGCAATCACTCGATAAAATCCCTATTTTCGGCTGCTACGAACGCAATTCGGAGTAACGGTAGAAAACAACTGTATGACCAAATTAAATTCTCTTAATTATGTTATGCATGATATTGCTATGTTATTGATCATCGCGATTGTTATAGAGTCGGTCAGTTACAGTTTTATGGGATCTTTTATTAATCTCTCGCTGAACTAGACCTTATCTTAGGTGATCATGTGGTCGCCATGTCTTCGTTCGAAGAAGAAAAATATTGATGGAATATAAAACTAAGCTCCCCGCCCACCCTACCTACACCAACAATCCAGGGCTACACATTTGTTCCTAAACCTGTAGGCTTCAAAGAAGCTTCTGCTAAGTGAAAGAAATCGGACGGCGTGACATATCGCTCGTTACGTCATACTTTCGAAAATAGTAATCAATTTAGGAAACTTCGTAACTTAGTACCACACAAGCATCTACCATTTTTCTCTGATTAATGTTTTGATCTTCAGCGGACATTTCTCCATTAAATTAAACAACTTTGACTTACTCAGTAGCCATTGGCCTCAGATAGATTTTTAATTCTTAATTTATGCCAACATGACCGATGGCTTATGCGCATAATTTAGTACTTATAACGCAGATCTTCATAGCCAAGTCAGATTCACCTCCGTTGCCGATTACGCAAGAACCACGACTACCAAGTTAATGTTCGCGGGTTTATATCTCAAGGCACGAAGAATTTTCTTTGATAGAAGCTATATATACAGAATAACAATTATCGTTTGGGTACCTTACCACTAGGCTCTCACCACCACCACCTCCCTATTTGTTTCTTTTGCCTTACACCCTTCGGGGGATAATCCCCTGAGTAATTGCTCAAATTAAAAACAAACTCAGTCTTTTACACCTTCGGAGACATTACGCGATTCCATGCGTTAATTCATTATGTACTTTGAAATGCTTCCGTCCACAATCTCTGGCAAATCTCTAAAAACTTCAACAATGTTCTTTGCGTTTCGCAGTAGTTTCGAATGCGAATCTAATTCGATACTTATTTGCGATTGATAAGTAAATTTTCAATTGGTGTACATTTCGATTGGCATAGAGTAGGCATAATAAGGTCTATCACGTATATCGATGCTCAGATTTACTTAATGCTTATGATTACATGACGCGACTGCTTTATCGCATCTAAAATTGCTGGCACAACAATCATTTGCTAGTGCGCTATGCCTGAATTGCTTGAAGCTATAAATTAATTTAGTTGAGTTTCGAATTTCGCGCAATGCCTAATGTAGAACACTTACGCCATTCACTTGTAATTTCAATATATACAATGAAAGGCTTTGAAACCATCTTTACTTTTATATTCAAATCTTTTATTGTATTGACGAAAATAATCAAATTAACAATATCACTATATTGCGCTGATCAAGGATGTGTACATCTTAAGTGCGTCTCCGATGAGTATGCAAATAAGTCAATCTATCTTCTTTTATGGTGAGTAGAAAGCAAGCAATATTCGTTATTATCGATCGATTTCATTTTTGATGGGTTATAAGCTTGTTTCCTACACCTGATTATTGCCATAGCTAACGGTTAATCGGCGAATTTATATTAAGATCTTCGCTTGCAAATGCCGCCTAAGTATTATTACAAAAATTTTTTTTTCAAAATTTTAATTACAATTTTCAGAAAGAAGCGGAAAGTACTAGAAAATTAATTTACAAATAATAATAAAATATTTTTTTATTTTTTTCTTCATAAATATATATAAAAAATAAGAAAAAAAGAACAATTTTTATTAATCTGTGATAATTGCAAGTGAATTCAGAAGCGGAAAAAAAAGAACAACAAACGCAGCAAGTCTCACGAAAATATCTCAACAATGGGTATACCTTTGGAAAATACTAAAGATATAGAAAAACCTGGTAATAAAATCGAAAATGGAAATGGCAAAACAGAAGACATAGAAGCCGTTGCAAAAAAAAGCCATAAAACAAGGTTTGTATAAGAAAAACTTTGAAATTAATTTGAAAGCATTTGACAGTGAATCTCAGATTTTTAAGGCAAGGCCACTTAATATATATATAGACGATAGTTATATTTAGGACCGATATCTAATGCTGGTCTCGGGGTACTAATAAGTGTACACAAAAATGCGTTGTAAAAAATATTTTTCAATTTTTCAGATTCTGTGAATTAACTAACTTACTATTCATGCCCACTTTCATATATACCTCTAAGGAATCCAGCCAAGACTGTAGATGTTAAATTTCAATTCAAGATATTGTCTTCATATTGCTAATAAAGGACCGACGAGCCTGACTGACTAAATCAACTCGGAATTTTAACTTAACATCTAGTTTCGATATATTTCCTAAAAGTTCAGAAAGGCAAAATAGTTTTAATATTTTTATTATATTGAAAATTGTGTTTTTATAATTTTTAGCAATTTAGAAGCCGCGACTCATTTATTTAAGGGCAGCGTAGGAGCTGGACTTTTTGCGATGGGTGATTGCTTTAAAAATGGTGGGTTGGCGGGCGCGACACTATTGTTACCGGTTTTGGCAGTGATTTGTGTCCATTGTGAGCAAATGTTGATTGATGGCTCGATATTAGCGGTCGAAAAAACACCAGGCGCTACATTTTACGATTATCCCGAAACGGTGGAGAAATGTTTCGAATACGGTCCGGCTCCGCTAAGACGCTTATCAAAACTAATGAGACTTATTGTGGAAATGTTCCTGTGTGTAACTCAATTCGGTTTTTGTTCAATATATTTTGTGTTTATTACCGAAAATTTACATCAAGTAAGTTATTCGGAATTATGAAAGACGATATCCGAATTAAATAATAATTTTTTCAATAGGTTTTAGAAATTCATGGTCTAGATATTAGTCCTACTTTGACCATGTTAATTGCTTTGCTTCCGGCTATGATACCATCATTGATGACCAATTTGAAATATATATCGCCTGTCTCTGCGTTTGCGAATGTTGCCCTAATATTTGGCTTAGTCGCGACTTTGACAATAGCCTTTACAAGTGGGCCTATGCCTTCGCTTAGCGAAAGACATCTATTTACATCGGGCACTCAGATGTCATTATTTTTCGGTACGGCATTATTTTCCTATGAAGGTATAGCTTTAATTTTGCCTTTGCGCAACTCGATGAAAGAACCGGAAAAATTTAGCAGTCGTTTTGGTGTATTAAATATCACAATGGTCATCATAACTATTATATTCATGTTTACGGGATTCACCAGCTACGTGAAATGGGGTGAAGAAGTGCAAGGCAGTATTACTCTAAATTTGAACGTGGAAGAAATGTGAGTATCATTAACAAACTAATTGAAAAAAGCAATTCTTTTTGAACAAAAGTAAAAAAAAAAAATAATAATAATAATAATTAGCTTCTCTCAAGCTATTAAAATTGTGGCTGCCCTTGGAGTCTTTTTTGGTTATCCCATACAATTTTTCGTAATGATTAAGATCTTATGGCCGCCGTTAAAGCAAAATTTAAATTACGCTCAAAGTCATCCCATACAAACGCAAGTAGCTTTACGCTTTATTCTGATACTAATGACTTGTAAGTCTTAAACTTTTTAAGAAAATTTCAAATACTATATCTCTACCAATTTTATTTCATGTAATTAGTTGGCGTTGCTTTGTTGGTGCCGAAACTACATCTCTTCATTTCGTTAATTGGTGCGTTCTGCTCAACTGCTTTGGCATTTGTTATACCTGTTTTTATAGATTTCGTAGTAAAAGCTCAAATCCCCAAATCGCTTACATTGTGGATTTACTTCAAGAATATGGCGATCTTGCTAGTGGCCGTTTTGGGCATTGTAACTGGGACCTATGAAAGTATAGTTGAGATAGTAAAAGCATTTTATGCATAATTTTCATTGTTTTTTTTTTTTTTTGTTTTTCATTAATTTATCGTTTGGCGTACAACTATTTTTTATATATTCAACTTTTCTTTATAGCACTTTAAGTAATAATGTATGTAATTTTAATTTTATCAATTTTTTATATATATACATATTTTATATCTTCTAGTGTTGTGATCCTACGTTAAAGATTTGTGTAACATTTTTTAAGAGGAAAAAAGAAAAAAAAAAAATCGAAAAAATAAGTAATTGAAATAAATTTATATATGATCTCTTTCGATCTTTTAAGTCTTAAGCTTTATTAAAAATTGTTATCAATTTAAGCGCAATTTAAGTGCTTTATTAATCCTAATTGCCAACAAATTAATTTTCTCTCTTTAGATGTTGCGGTCAGTCAACGTTATTGCTTGCGTTCGCCTTCGCCATTTTTTTCAATTTCTTTTCACGCCTTTTTATTAACTCGCTCTTATCCAAATTATTTTGGAAAAATGTTGTTTCCTTCCGAGCTTGAGATACTTCATTCATAAGCCTTTGTTTGTAAACAGCTTGTTCGTAATTCATTCGTTCAGTTAGATGATACCATTTAAATCTGGGCAGATACTTCATACTCCATAAGCAGTCATAGAATTGCGATCTCTTGCGTGTAGATATTTGCTTATTATTAAGGAGAGGAACAATTTGTTTGGCTACGCGTTTGGATTCGAATTCTATCCAACCCTCAGTAAAGTGACGAGCAAATGGTTTGCGTTTCTTAGCCTTTTTGTCAGAACCTAAGCAAATAAATAAAATTTTAAACTATTCTCACTTTGCAAGCAAAACACTGTTTAAAAGGACAATGTTTTCTTACTTACTTTTTGGTAATTTCTCCGGTTGTAAATATACACGACCAATTTTGCCATATGCACCCAGAATCTCTTTTATGCGTGTTACATTCATGTGTTTGGGCAGATTCGAAACATAGATGATCCCCTTTTTGCGTTTCTTTCTATTTTTAGAAGATGGCAAATCATCTGAAGTTGTTTCGTGCTCACTGTTTCCCCTAGCTAACCCACCATTAACATCCAATTTCGATTCATTGTCTGCAACCAACTTCGAATTCTCCTGGGAACGCTGGACTTTCTTCTCCACAGCGGGATCTGAAACCGCTTTTAACAAACACTCTTGTTCTGGAGGTGTTGAAGAATTTGTAAAATTCTTCACCTTTCCTGATTTTACATTCATTTTTCGCTGTTGGGTTAACTGCATTGTTTTTCAACACAAATTCAATCTTGTTGATCAAAAAAATTAATGTTGCCAGATAAGCAGCGAATCTTGCTCATGAAAAAGATTAGTGTTGCCAGATTAGCAGCGAAATTTTCCTCACGTAAAACATGAATTAAAAAATTCCATTTCGAATATAAAGACACGTTTGTTGAAATGTAAATAAAATCGCCAATTAGAGTCAGGCGCGAGAATTTCTATTTTTTTATCGTATATTTTTGAATGAATTTCTATTAGAGAATCATAAATGGTAATCTCCAAATTATGGATAAATTAACACAAAAAAAGACTCTCGATGGTGTTATAAAATTTAAGCAGGTTTTAAAGAGTAACAAAATTGTTATTTTTTTGTAAATTTGTTGTTTGCGTTTACGGTGATTTCTTAATTTTCGGATCGAAAACCGTATGTTTTTATTTAAATTTATCCACAAAACAATATGGTAGCGCGGCTACCCAGTGCGTTTACCATTTGGGAGTTTGGGAGAAAAAGAAAATGGCACCTCGTTGCGTCAGGCCGCGAAATGCGAAACACGATTTGTATTAAGATAATCATATATCGAAAATAAAATCATGAAACCTTTCTCTATACTATGCTTTCTTTTTCTCTTAACGAAAACTCCTTCAATTTGTGCAGGCTTTGAAATTAAATATGAGTTCCATCTACGCATTCAATCACTTCAATACATATTAGGGACATTTCAATCATCGTGTATATTATGACAAAACGCTACAAAAACATAAGCACAACAAAACTTACTTACCACCTTGAATACCGCATTTTTGACAAAACAACGTTGTCTTGGAATTAACGCTCCACTGAAAATATTCCACGCAAAGTTTTACTTCCCTTTCTTTTGACATTTCTGATATACTAATTAAAAATGTTCACTGTGTAGCACTGCTGAAATCTACATGAGTAGCCGAGTAATTAAGAATCGCGGTTGGCAAGCGAGTGTTCGCGGGTTCAAGTCCCAGTGCAGTAGAGCTTACTTTATTTATAAGTATAGTGAGTAGTCAGTCGGTAAATGCATAATATTTAAGGATTAAACACACATCTACTAGGTTGCGGCCACCACCTCCCCATTTCTATCTTTGTTTCTCCTTCCTCATCTGTTTTTGACAGTCACCGGTGTATAATCACGAATATAAAAAAACATGTACCTACACCTTTTTAGGCACTGCAAAAAGATTGCAAGCATCTCGCAAATCCCTTTGCCGCTTCCGCGAATCTCGAGCCTCGTGTTAAGCGAAATACCATAGCATGAGCACACGGATAAGTCTGCACAAAAATGTATTTATAAGATGCACATTACTTGATTATTTGTTAATATTACGTAAAATCTAACACCTACTTCTTGCCTACTAAGAAAACATGTTACATCTGTTCACGATGAGACCAATACATCCAATAAAATGATGAGCTTTTAAAATTGTTAATGACTTGATAAGCAATATATACATATGATCATCATTAGCATTTTATTGGATGTATATGTTATCTATATATATTATTTAGTTCTCACATATTTAAAATTTTTTTTGTTTGTTTCAGCTATTTATAAGTAAACAATTCTATTTGTAGTATTTTTTTTCATTTGCAGTGGTTTCCTCTTATAAATACAACTCTAAACCACCAATACTAGCCCTAAAAAACTAATACTACCGTAAAAACGAGTTACGTGCTCATTTTGCGTTCGTCTTATTTGATAGATAGGAGAGAGTGTATTTCGCAGTCGTTGTGCGTTCATTAAAAAAAAAACGAGCGTTAATGACAAATAGTGGGCAACGATAGCATACGTAATTCAAGATTAACTGGAGGATGAGAAAGATAGTAACATTTATCATATGCAAATATTTTCTGATGATAAAAGTTTACATATTCAAGAAGGTTTGTGAGATAACGACGAAAATAAAGCATAGCGTCAATATGTCATTTGCAAACTTGTATAGATAGAAAATTTAAAAAATAATTTATGTAATAAAATAATTAATTTTTAAATTTTTATGCACTTGCGCCTTTTTGGATATGTTGTTTCTTTTATCGGAGAGAAGAACCAGCAGTTTGTTGTTTTGACAATCACAGCAAAATGTAAACATGTTAATTCTTTTTTTCAGTTTTTTCATTCGACATGAATGATAACATCAGAAGCGATGACGAAACTCTTACGCAATGGAAACCACGTATCAACTTTTGCTTTCGTCGGGGACGAATGTTAACTAAAAGATACGTGATTAGTTCAGGCTTATTAGGAGAGAAATTTTAAACACCCGAACTACTGTACCGCGTTTGTGGAGCAAAAATAGGGAAGTCAATGTATATCCTATTCTAAATTATTTCAGTCATTACGGTCTTCTTCTTTACCACTAATAATTATATATAAATAATAATGATATAATGTACTGACTTTATAAACATATTTATTTGATATGCTAACAATGATAACTTTTTTAAACTTTTAGTTTTTTTTTGTTGATTTTTTTTATGGTTACGAACACTAAAATCGGTGTTCAATTAAAATTGTTGAAATAATTATTTTTCTGTTATTTGTCAATGTCTGAAATAGAGGGATCAACAAATACAATTTGTTATTGGAAAAAGAAGGAAAATTTTCAACATATTATAAGAAATAGTAAAAGTCATAAAAATAATGGAGTGCTTAAGGTGCTTCAACCGGTATGTTTTAAAGATCTGTAAATGATAAAAATATGCTAAGACATACTTTGCAAAGATGAATTTTAAGGGTTAAAAGAGCCTCGAATAAAATTTAAATTTTTAGTAATTTTGTGACAGCAACTCATTTGTTTAAAGGCTGTGTCGGAGCGGGACTATATGCAATGGGTGATTGTTATAAGAACGGTGGCTTGGTGTACGCTTCAATACAAATGCCCATAATAGCGGTTCTGTGCGTTCATTGTGAACTAATGTTGATTTATGGTTCATTAGATGCAGTGAGTAAAACAGAGGGCGCCGAAAGTTTTGAATACCCTGACACGACAGAAAAGTGTTTTCAATACGCACCCGGCTATTTTAAGCCCATAGCTACAGTTATGAGAAGAATAACTGAAAGTTTTTTATTCATAACTCAATTCGGATTTTGTTCGATATATATTCTATTTATTACAAAGAATTTATATCAGGTAAGAAATTGATGCAATTCTGAGTGGATCCAGCTATAATTAACTTTTATTAGGTTTTACAAACGTATGATATAGATTACGGTCAATCTTTAACCATGTTATTCTGTATGCCTTTTGTTATGGTACCGTCTTTATTCACCGGTTTGCACCATATTGCCCCAGTATCAAATATTGGTAATCTTTGCCTTATTTTTGGCGTAGCAGCCACTCTGACAGTGGCTTTTACGGAAGGAATGCCTTCAACGGAAGACCGAAGCTTAATCACTAATCTTCCCAATATGGCTTTAAGCTTTGGTACAGCATTATTTTCGTATGAAGGAATAGCTTTGGTTTTGCCGCTACGCAATGCCATGAAAGATCCAAATGATTTCAACCGGCCTCTCGGTATTCTAAATATTATTACTGCTCTCATAACTTTTGTATTCATATTTACCGGTGTCATCACCTATATAAAGTGGGGTGAGGAAGTAGAAGGTAGCATTACGCTAAATTTAGATGAAACAATCCCGTAAGTAAGTCAAATAGAAAAATATGTATTACGCTTAATATAAAATATTCCTATTAGTTTCAATCAGGCTGTCAAGTTAGTAGCCGCCTTGGGTGTCTTTTTTGGATATCCAATACAATTTTTTATAATGTTTAATATTATATGGCTACCGATGTTACAAAGATGGAAATTTGTTCAAGGTTATCGTTTAATAGTGGAAGTGTCCTTGCGTTTTATCTTTATAGTCCTAACCTGTTAGATAAGATCGGTTTTATACAAAATATTTGAAATTTTGCTCATTCCATGTATTTTTAAATTTTAAATAGTTTGCGTCGCCCTGCTGGTACCCAATTTGGAGCTTTTCATTTCATTAATTGGTGCCTTTTGTTCGACTACATTGGCGTTTGTTATACCTGTTTTTATAGATTTTGCGGTAAAAGCTCAAACTCCCGAAGAGCTTAAATGGTACATTTATGTAAAAAATGTGATAATATTGATAATCGCTTCCTTTGGTATTGGACTCGGTACCTTTAAGAGTATAGAGCAAATAGTGGAAGCATTTAAACAAAATTATATATTGTAAGCTGTTGTATTACAACAATTTATTTTCCCTTGTATGCGCTTTGAATTTGCCTTTGTATTGTTTTATATTTTTACAAAATTTGAAGTGTTAAAGCCTTTAAAAAATTGTAAACTTTCAATCTACTGTTTTAAACCGTCAGCTAATTCAATAAATTCAATCGAAGATCAACTTAATAAAAAATGTACATATCAAAATAGTATGGCAACCCTAAATAACGCAACCCTAAAAAAATGCAAATCCATAGAATAATTAAGCATAAGTACAAAGCAATATAGTTGGAAAAATACGTTACGTATGGCAAACGAGTTGCGATTGTTGACATAAACGTATTGGAGGAGATTGAGCTCCGCTTGTTTTTAAGTTGGAGCGTCGCGTGTAGAGGAATATAAAGCTTTGTGAAATAAACATATTAGTAAAAATGGGAAATAAAAAAATTCTTTAACAAAAAAAAAAAAAAAATAGGAGCAGAAATCGTTTAAACAAATTATTATAAATAAAAAGACAACGATAACTAATATTTTAGCAACGATCTTGAAGAATTTACAACAGCAACAACTTTAAACGACTCTCTTTACACCACATAAAAAGTAATAAGCTTATGCGCAACGAAAACAGGTCTTAAATCAAACTGCTGAGCATTTAGTTAAAAGGTAAAATAAAAAGAAAAGTGTAGAGAAAAATATACAAAAAAAAGAAAAGATGATATAAACATAAATTGGAAAAATTATTCTACATAGCTTGCAAAAGCTATATAAAAATTATTGAAAACGTTAAGCTAAAGTAAGGAAATCATCAAACGCTAAGTGATTCATAGGATTTTGCGCAAAAATTCCAAGAGCAATAACACAAAGTTTTAACAATGAAATATATTATGGCTATTAAAAAATGTACAAACATTATAAATGCGAATGTAATAATAAGTTATATGGCCATCTCTTTTTAACAAGTGCTTTTTATGGGGAAAATTTATTTATACTTATATATACTATAATATATATACATGTGCATTGATCATACAAGTGTCCTTTAATCTTATACTAAAATGTGTTTTCTGTCTCTCTTGCATATAGCTGAATACTTTTTCTCTCACTGCACTCATTTTGTTCTAATCGAATTATAACAACGCTTTATATGTATTACATATGCGTAATAGTCTTCTAACAAAATGCAGCTGCTGTTAATATTTTTTAATATTAACGCTACTAGTATTTCTGTTACCGCCACTAATAATAATAACAACAGCGACGACGAAGCAAGCAGTAATTACAATATTAACAGCGACAACAACTACAATAACAGTAACGACGATAATAATAGTAATAACCTCGTATTTTGAAAACAGAAAATTTAGTGCGTGGTATTACTATGTGAGCATGCAGTGTGCTTGTGTTGATTTTGTTTAATTTTTGTAACGTGTTTCTGACGCCACCAATGTTAATGTCATTTAATGTTTTTTCTTTCTTTTTTAATGCAATGCGATGTGTGCGTGTGTTAAGTTAAATTTTCAGTAAAAACTAGTATTTTTGTTCTTATATACGGCATATTTGTTTTTGAGAGAAGGAAAAAAAAAACCATAATTTGATTAAACAAGTGCTACGATATAAAGTGCTTTTCTATATGATTTTGGGAAATTAACGAATAAAAAAGGTTTTTGTATAAATTGTTATTTTTCTATGTTCAGTTATCAATATGAAAGTAACCGTTTGTTTTGGTGAAACACGAATTGTGGTGCCTTGCGGTAATGGCAATTTATTGGTAAAGGATTTGATAAACGAGGCCACCAGACGTTATAAGAAAGCAGCTGGAAAGGTAAGTTAATTTATTCTCCCGATTGAAATATATAAATTCAACTACATATGCAATTTCATTTATCTCGATTAGTTTTATCTTATTGCTATGCTAACCATGGGCAGTATATCAGATTTATTAAACCTATGCGTTTGCATTGTTTACATAGATATATAGATTTCGACAATACTGTAAAGTACATATTCTTGATCAGGACGAATAACAAATTCAATTAAGGCATGTATGTGTCGATCTGTTCACTTGTGAAAACCACGATTGTGATCTCAAAACCTGTGTCTAAAAGAACAAACTTGGTCTATAATTTTTTCTTATCACCCTTAACGAAACACCGATGTAAACTGTAAGCAGAACTGAACTATACAAGTTTAACCTTAAATGTGTTCTTACGGATCAAGTTTGAAAAGTAACTAAATCTGTTCATAGGTTCACGTGCAATTAGTCAAAGATTTAAAATTTGTTTAGACCCAGCACAGATGCTATAACAAGGAAGGTAGAAGAATACACATTGGAGTTTCCATATGATTTTCTTAACTATCGTGAGCAGCGGAATCGATTTAGTCAAGTCTGCTTGATCGCGGGCTCATCTCATAAAAGAAACTACACAAGAATAAAAGGGTCTACATAAAATCGGTTCCATATAGACAATTGTTCTCTACCTTTCAGTAGTACAACCAAATTTCAACAAAATGATTATATATAATGTATGTCACAGAGCTACTGGAGAATGGCAAAAGACGTGATCCAAGCTAAGCGTACATTTTATCTTCCTAGATTTTCCTCTCTCTATGTGTACATACAGTTGTATATTCTTAACCGAAATAAGACTTTGAGACGATTTGCCTACGTCCATCCGTACGTCTATCTTCAGTGTAGTAATAGAAAGCCTACTAACTGGCAACATATGACAATGGGCATGATTCGCTCACAAAGAATTCCACATTAAGCAACATCCTACAAACTATACAAAGTCTTGTAAAAATATTTACTACAGCGATACGTGAATAGATTGTCAAATGGTGGGCCAACTGAAACGAGCATAATTGAAGTAAGCAGAATAGTCACGCTCGGTTAAAGGCAAATGATGGTACGTTTGGATAAATTTTGTAATTGGGCTCAGCTGATCGGTATCGTTGTTAATTTTCGGCAAAAAATGACGGATGATATCTGTGTCTTGTCTTTGTACTAAAACGTGAACGCACATTTCGCTGAGGCTTTGAAAAGAAGTCATACTTCTTTGGCTACGGCGAGTATCGTTCTAAGTGGATGACGGATTATTTTCAAACCCAATTTTAGCCTATCAACTGATTGTTCTAAAAGCACGCGTAAAGCAGATGAACGGCCGAACGCATAGAACGGCATGGATAAATCGGTTCAGAATATTCCAATGATAAAGCGTATATATATTATAAAGTATCAATGTGGTTTGTGATCGGTACTATATCGATATGCCGATATTATAGGGCGTAATGGAAAAACAAGACTACTATGCAACAAACATGAAAGTATGGGCTGAAAAAGCACATTTTTTATATGTAGGTTTACAGTTTTGATAAGTAGGTAGGTGCTGTAAAGTCGCCCTAAAGTAAAATGAACTTTCTTATTTCCTTCGAAGTCGATATGTATTTCACGAGCCGAGCATTGAAAATAATATAGGACTGCATAAGTGCGTAGGATAAGATATAGATATCGCCGTTATTAGATAATAGGAAAAATTCGTTTACCAGTTGGACTTTTTTTTTTTTTTTCTGGTTACCCCACTTCAAAGTAATGGAAAGAGCGTAAGCAAAACAGTTGTAAATTGTAAACCAATAGTCGGAATGTCATTGAGTTTAGACACATTTCGCATAAATCATATGGACTTTGCCATAGTCAACCCATTACTGTATGCAATCCTACGAGTTTATTAAGTGTTGTCTTGTATTAAAAGCCGAATAGAATCTTTTTCTTATTTTATCTTAAGCTAAATAACGTAATATAAACAGCTTTGGGACGTAAACTTCAACTCGATTAATGTCTTTTTAAAGTCAAATAATGAAAAACAAAACCAAGAAGAAAAACTTGTGACAGATATAACAACAAAAGCGATAACATCCGTTGCCTATAATCCATCATGATATTTTAACTTTTTTTTTTTTTTGGTTATAAGGTGTGGTGCAAGGGTACTTAATAAGAAGTTGTTGTTTTTTTGCTTATTTTTTTGTGGGATAAGAATAAAAAAGCAAGTCATAAATCAATGATAAGTTGATCATAGGTTTGTGAAAGTTTACACGAAAGTAATTAAGGGAATAGTGCTTACCCACACACATATGTGTATGAGAGGAAAATCATAAGCCGTATGTACATAGATGAATACATAGATAAAATTCACGGAATGAAAAGAAAGCATTTGAACAATCGCTATACGCATATACATCATTTTAAGCATTTCAATTCTTCGATCGGATAAGATGAAGTTAAAGAAGTTAGAAAATTATATGCGGTCGTGATCGAATCTCTTACACCCAGCACCGTTGTTGTGCTAAAAAAGGCTAAAAAAAAAAAGGAAAAGAACTAAATTTTCATACTCTATAGTATTGAGTGAGTGAGTGAGTGAATGAAAACACGGAAAGCAAAGGTTTTCACAGTTTCTGTTGTGTAGGCGTGTGAGTGCTGTAGGCGGCTCTTTTAATCGATTTAGGTAGTTTTCATAATCTTACGCATATTTGTGTGCGATATCTTCATTTTTGCGAACAGGAGAATATTTACTACAGATACTGCATAGTTCGGCAGTTCGGCATACTGGACAGACTAACAGACGGACATGCTTAAATGCATTTTAAATATGAAATCTGCCAAAATTTTATGTGCTTTATGGGTATTTTAAAGCCTACCTCTACGCGTTATAAAGGTGTTGGAAAAAAAAAATTATACCTTTATATCCTATGGTATTGTTTCGTATATTTATGCGGGCATAGCCCATAGCACATATGTCCACATTTTTGTAGATTTATTTGCTGTATTTTATGGGTAATAAGCAAAAAACCTAATCAACCCCCTCCCCCTTCCGCCTTCCCACTACAATTTGAAAAATGAAGTGTTCTCAGCCTACGTGGTACTGTAGGCGTGTTCTTCGTCCAATTTGGGCCATTTTCAATAGCAATCAACATGCAAGAACTTTCAAGGTTTCTGCCAACTTTGAAGTCGATAGTTGCATTTTGGCGGCCAGGATACAGACGGACAGACGGACATGGTTAAATCAATTCAGAATTTGATGCTGATCAAGAATATATACATTTTGTGAGGTTCTCTGGAATTTCTTTTCGGGCGTGACAAACGTTTTGACAAAATGAATATACCGCTCATACTTGGGTGATGGTTATAAAAATATGATTCTAAGAGTATTGCAAGTTGCTACATTTTCAAATCGGTCTTATACGCTTGCCATTAATCAAATTCTCAAATGTTATACAATGAAAGACGCACTTTTAATCCCTTCCTGTTATGATACCCGATGTTTCCTAGATAAGATAATTGCTTAAAAAGAAGACAAAAAGAAATAAATGAATTTCTTTTTCTAATTATCAGTAATATGCATCTTGTCCTCTATAATCAAAAACGATGATTTTATATATTCCATCGCAATTAAATTGTATGAATCAATAAATTTTGAAGACTTAAATTAAAATCTTTTTAGAATGCTTAAGTCATTGAAATAGATTCGATTCTGTCTGCTCGAATAAATTGAAATTTTTATTAGCATAATTGCTCGACGATTGACGAAATCACTACAACTTTAAAGACAACTCGTGTGTCGGGCTTTTAAATCTTCAAAAAGCTTGTAACAAGGCATTTACCTACGGATACATAGTCTATTTATTTATAAGCCGGCTTCCCCAGGCACATGATCCGATCTTTTCATGCACGAATCATTTTAATGGTACCGATATTTCTTGGAAGTTCCAATAATATGTTAAAAAATTTCTTCAAGTTTGTTTTTTAGTTTTCCCTCTTTGCAAGTAGAGACTTTTGCGCAAGCGCAATCAAAGTAAAAATATACTTTCCGAGCTTTTTATGAATTTAAACGTATTAACAACGGACATAGCGAAAAATATACGCTGATCGACAAACATGACTAAAACGATCTTATGCTAATCAATAAGATTTATGCTCTTATGCTAATCAATAAGGCTTTTAAACTATAGGGGAAAAATAATTTATTGCAAAGTTATATTCGATTTCAATCCATTTTTTTTTTCCTATAATTTTAAAGCAAGAAATAACATATATTCCGCTTTGAAGTGATCGTATCTTTCGTGCGATATTTGATCTCAAGAAAGAGCAAAGACTCTTTCGCCCGGTATACATTTTATCTTATATCGGTTATAACATATGCCGTGCATATATCAAGCCTTCTACAACTTGACAAGATTTCCCGGGTAATTGTACAAACTAAAAATGTGTGTACAAAGGACCCCATAACTATACACATTTTTCGGTAATTATGGGCGCAACGTTAATATCGTATATCAGAGTTTCGAGTTGAATGTG